TAAATGGCCGGGAAATGTTCAAAATAATGCTTCTGTTGCACTCGCAAGACGATCGGGGGCTTCGGAGGAACAATGAAGGTCCATTAGAAGGACAAAAAGAGCGGCTATCAAAAGTAGAGCAAAGCATTTTGAAAAAATAATCTAAGTTTTATTTTGATAAGTTCATTGTAGATATTTTTAATTTTAAAAATGATATTTCTACTTAAAACCTCATTAATATAAATGCAATTTGTAAGGATAAATATTATATTATAAATTTACGAAACACAATCCAAGTTAAAGTTTATTTGTAAAATACAAAAGTTAAATTCAAAGAAAATAATTAACTTTTTTATCTGATGTCCTAAACAAAGTTCCATTTTAAACCATTTTTTAATCACTTTTTTGCCAAAAACACTGGACTTTTAATGGTCTAAAAAATCGAGGATTCACAGAAAAGTTTCTTTCAAACCCGGCTTTTGGCTAAGAACAGCATCGGCACGAACAACGAAAATTCTGGAAAAACACGAAACATAAATTAACAAAAAGCAAACAAAACCCGCAAACACCGCCACCAACTTCTTCTTCTTCTTCCCTTTTATTAAAATAGTACAAAGCCAGAACACCCAGTAGCAGCAGCAGTCAAGTAAGAGAGAAAAAAAGCGAGTACTGCGCGTTCAATGTAAAAAGTTTTAATGCATACATGGCCGGGACAATCGAGCATAGTCACGCACATGCAGATCCGATTCCCATTAAGAAAAATTCAAAGTGGACGCAGAGGAAATTGCGGCGGCGTGTAATGGGCCTGGCGCGCGGAACGAACGTGCAATTCAATCAATCAATCTTAGGCCGAGGGCGCAATCAAGGCGGCCAGAACCGGTGAAAATGCTGGTGTGGTTTGTTTGTCCAAACGTGCACCTCACCAAATGGATTCGACGAGAGTGACGGGAAATAACAGTGTTTGAACACTCGTTTCGAGTGAGAGGCTATAGGGCTAAATTGAAAACGTTGGTGGAAAAAAATATGGAGGAGTCTGGTTTTCCGATCCAGATGTTTCTCGCTGTTCAAAAAACGTTGAATGAGTTTTAATTTTACTTATTTCTGGCAACCAAAGCGAAATTCAATTTTTTTTTCAAATTTGTAATCTTTTTCAAATCAGGTTAAATTTTACAAATTCTTAATAAATGTATCACAAAAAAAATTCCTCAATTATATATTTCAAATTTATTTCTCAACTATAGAGAATGCTGGTTTTCATATATTATCGCCGCAAATCAATAAATCAACCCCACATATTTTGGTCCGAATACGAGGAATTTTCACATTTGGCTTGCAAATTTATTTTCCCCGCCTTTTCGGAGCCAACATTCCCTCTGCAGTCGCAAAGACACACGCATATGCAGCCGTAAAAAGCGACGAATGCAATTCTGCCGCGGAACATGTGCCAAATAACGCTGCTCTCTGTGTGTGTTTGTGCGTGTGTCATTTTTCGGCCCCTCTCTTCCGTTCGCCCGAAATGTGTTTCTGATGAAAAGCGGTGCCGCGTGTGCGAAAAAATCCAATATAGGCAAAACAGGGCGGCTTTTTTTATGCGCCAAAACTCGGGGGTGCAGCGGAGGGAAAAACCCGCATTGGCGGGAAAACGCCGGACCAAAACGGGAATAAAGAGAGTTGAGAGAGAGAGAAACGCGGGCGATTTATCTCTTTGCCTCTCGCGCGTCGCAATGAGAAATAAAAGAAAAGGGATAGATTTGTGTCGTCCGTCGGGGTGAAAATCAATAGCATGAGGGTCGACACGAGCAAAAGGAGGCCGGTCGAGAGCGCGAAATCGATCCATCGACCACATCGCTCCCTCTTAAAGCCGATCTCAACGGGAATGAAGCGGTCGCATTCCTCAACTAATGCTAAAACACGAGTAGAACTTTTAACAGCACAAAAAATATAAATCATTTTGAATATTTGTGTTCTCTCAATTATTTAAAGATTCATTTGAGAAGGTTTTTAATATTTTAATGAGGTTTTTTTTGTGCAATTACTAGGTCCAGTACACAATATTTTTTTAATTGGTTTATTAATGGAGCTGTTCTTGCTAAATTTCTATCAAAACTTAAACATGTCGTATATTTTTATATCAAGTCACCCCTAAACTTCATTTTGGTTATATTATTTGTTGATTTAGAAAAACTTTCATTAATTTTAGCTGGAGAGATTTCGAGAATACAATTTTTTACTAAATTTGAATAAAATGTAATTTTACCCTTTGGTTCGCTGAGGCAGTAGAATTATTTCTTGCATTAAAGACAAATTTTGGAACTAAAGCGCTTTGTTAGAAAGTTAAAAATGTTAATTGGAAAATATCTATTTTTGTAAAATTTATGGATTAGCTGTAAAAAAAAAAATCAATTCTATTATAGTTTCCATAGTTATAATAAAAAACTTAATTGTGATCTGGAAATTCGCTATAATTTAAAGTAAATAAAATACAACTTTTCTGAAAATTGAAATTCCAAACAATTAATATCCGCATCATTCGTTGTTAATTATACATTTTTTCAGCTTTTACAAAACTTCTGAGCTCATAATTTTTATCTTATTTAAAAAAAAAAAAATCAAATAATGTATTTCACCTCTTGTAAGTTACTCTCAAATTCGCATGCTCAGTGCAATGTTTCTTGTCTTTTATTTTCACAGATTTCCTCTGAATTCATATTTCAACGCCTCACTTAAATACAAAGTTTCTTTCTGATCCACTTTGAAAGAAAGGGTTATTGGAACGACGCATAATTCATTTCGCTGGGGCTGTCGGCGCGCGTTCGCCGTGGTGCGCTGCCTTGGCTGCTCAATGGGGCTAAATTTAAAGTGATGTATATCATTATGCGTGCCAGCGTCCACCGGCTATAAATAAATTCACCGACTTCTCGCTTGCTCTCGCCAGTTCGCTCTTTCCGTGCAGCTGCCGCCGACTCGAATCTCTCTTTCATTTCTCGGCCCATACACCTGTGTGTGTGTTTCTAATAGACCTATTAATGCGCCGAATTGCGTGTCGGCCGTGCGCATTTATTACACATATTATTGCGCTTATATTGTTCATTCTTTCTCTCCGTGTACGTGACGCACCCCCGAAGGAAAAGAAAGAAAAGAAAGCAGGCTGTTGCCGCTGCACGAATTTTTTAGCCGATCGATCTGTCATCATCGTGGGCAGGCCAGGAACACGCACCACGACACGGAAACTACGTCCAGGGACACTTTTTCATTCTCTCCGACAGTTAGATTATTTTTAAATGTAAAAAATCGTTGAATATTTTGATGAAAGAAGAAATTTGTCTGTAATCCGAATTTATCATTTTTTTTTTTTTTTATTGTAACTCTAAGCAAAGAAATTCAGTAATTTATATTTAGATAAATTATTCTTTTTTTCATCAAAAATATCAAAATAAATAGTTTCATAAAAAAATTGGAATTAAAAAAAAAAATATCAATAAATTTTTTATGCTGCAAATTGTATTTTTTTTTTCTCTGAAAGAACTTTGACTTGCTATTATTGTTCTTTTTTCCTTTTTTGATTATTTCCTGTGAAAAGCAGTTTGGTCAAATTTTTTCAAATATGATTTTGCATATCTCGCAAACGAGGTGAAAAAATTCAATTCAATATTGTTTGTTTCGTAGCTATTGTGCTGCAAAAATAAAGCGAACTAAAAATGTCAATTGCCATAAAAATTATGCATAATATAGAGCAGCGTTTCCACATTTCCTAGAATGATTCATTGGTGAATATTTTTTGTTATATCTGACCTAGACGGAAGCAAAACGCGAAACTTCCCCGGCATACGCCGGTTCCTAAATTACTCTTGCGTGCATTTTGATTTTTGCATATAGAAAATATACATGATTTTTCGTTAAAAATTTTCATTTTGCGAAATATGTTCATATTTGTCTCTATTTTTATATATTTCTTTTCAATTTCCTAACATAATTGGAACTTTATTTAATTTTCTACACTGTATTAAATTTCTTTCAAAGATGTTCAATTGTGTTGAACTTGAGGGAAAAAAATTATTTCAATACTTCGGATCAGTCGGAAGATTTGATAATTTAAAAAAAAATACAGTTCACTCAATCAATTCAATTTTTCTCACTATGTCTCAAATGAAATTTTTTTAAATAAACATCAGCATTAAAATTAATCGAGGTCTTCAATTTTTCTCTTGATAAAATCGTGTCTAATTTTCTAGGAAATTTCGCAAATTCTCTAAATATGTATATTTTTTCTAAATTTGATATCGGAGATTTGATTGCAATTTTTTTTTTTTAGTTTAAGGGCGCTGCCAACCTCTGCGAATTTTTCAGCCGGCGCAGTAGAGGCTGGAGTGTGTCGGCGGAACGGCTGTGTGGCCTCGAAATCGATCCGAGTCGCGCGCCCTGCGCCGGCAGCACACCCGCCGCTCGCTCAAATCGGCGGCGTCAAAGAAAAATTATCAATACAAGTCCAAGTAGGCCTGCCAACGTGAGCGAGCGCTTTCGCAAATCGATCCGCAGCCGCCGCCGGTCTCGCGGCACATGAAAGAGCGGAAAAGAGCGAGCGGAAAATCATGTGCGACGGACGGATGAGAGGATCGAGCGGGAAATTCGAACTGACTTTTCCAACGTGGCGGACGGACAGGAAAGAGTTTGAAAAAAAGACGAACAGTAGCCATCAAGAATGAATCAATTATTATAAGACTTTTGGTGAACAGAGAGAGAGAGAGAGAGGAGAAAAAGAGAGAGATTATATTTAAGTTGTATGGGCAGGTGGTGGGGGAAAGCAGTGCCCACCCCTACCTAGACTTTAAATAATGCTATAAAATCAAACAGTGTGCACGAAATTAAAGAAGTCTTAGTTTTTGATTTTAGGAAATTACCGAAATTTTCATGTAAATTTTAAATTTGAATGGAACCTTCACCGAGGGTTATTTTTCAAACTTATAGTTTTTTTGTTCAAATAATTGTCAAAAATATTTTTTTTTAGTAAATAAAAATCCTACCTGATAGGCGAAGGTGTCCCTGTTGTCCTCGAGGGCTGCGATGTCGTAGGCGCCGGCCGGAGGGTAGAGGGTGTTCTTGCCAGGGTAGGAGGTGCTGCGTCGGTACTTGGAGGGCGAGATGACCTGCATGTTCTGGTGTTGGTGGTTGAAGGTGGGGCTCGGCTTGCGGTTGGCCATCGGGCCGGCGGCCATCGGGTTGAGGTTGGGCACCGAGCGGCCGCGGGCGTTCCACGGGTTGTGGCCCATGGGCGGCCCCGCCGAGTTCCAGGCCGACTGCGGAGGCGGCTGGTGGGGCGGGGTGGCCCCCTGCGGAGGACTGGCCGCCGACCACACGGAGGCCGGCTTGGTCTGCGCGGCGGCCGCCGCGGCCAGGAACATGTTGGGCTGCGTCATGTGTCTGGCGGCCTGCATGGGGAAGGCGGCCGTGATGGGCCGGCGGGGCTGCTGCTGCTGCTGCTGCTGGAGGCCGCCGAAGTAGGCGGCCGCCGGGGGCAGGCCGTTGTGTACGTTGAGCAGCAGGTCGTCCGACCAGGGCGTGTTGTTCTGCTGGGAAGGGCCGTCGACCTGGTGGTGGTGGTAGGTCTGCTCCTGCTTGCAATCTCCGTTGGTGGCCGCTTGTTCGTCGACGTCACCCAAGAGGCCGGCCGCCTCCTTGGCCGCCTTGCCTCCGTCCAGTTGTTCGGCCATCGGCGGGTTCGGTGACATCTTGCTACCTGCGGACACGGAGGGTTTCTCGATTAGTAGGCTGTCAGCCGGCATGCCGCCCCCGGACGAGCCGCCTCCGACACTAATACCGGCTAAGTACGACGCGTAGAAGTCGCCGGCTGCAGACGCGCTGCTGTTCGCAGAGCTGCCGCAGGTGCTGGACGTGCTGATGGTGCCGTTGGTGCTCGCCGCCGACGCACTCAGTTTGAAATCCCCCATCAAAGAACGTCGTGGCCCGAGTTCGACTCCCCGTCCGTCTCTGACTGACTCGTCGCTCGCTGGCTCGCGCACTCTGCCTCTGCTGCCGCGGCTCCCAATCGATTCCAACGCTGACTGCTTCGTCTCTTTCTCGTCCGTACGTGCGTGCACCGGCAGTCCGTCCCGGTCCGCAGACTTGTTCGTTCTGGCCCGATCGCTGCTGGAACACAAGGTGGCAGCACCCGGTGGTGCTCAGCCCGGTTCCCCATCTCCCCATTGGTCGCCCGACGGGCATGCGGAGCCGCGGCGGGGTGGCCGCGCGCCGCGCCGCGGTCCCGCGGAGAACGCGCGAAACCCAACGCCTAATGCCTGTCGCCGTCCCGCTTTTTTGCGATCTGTGAAAAGCGCGCGAGTCAATCGTTTCATCTACATAAACTTAAAATTTGCCCAAATGGTGATTTATATTCAAAATAAATTATAATTTTGATTGGTTTTTGCGTGCTTAATACGCTAAATACCCTAAATACTAATTTTGGGCAAGTTAATTTTCCTAATTTTCATTTTCAAATATTATCAATATTTTGTTCGATCCGTTGATGTAACAAATGGAAAATTATTATTATAAGGAGCTTTGCACATTATTATTAAGTTTTTATATTCTTCGTTTTGTGTTTTGTTGATAATATTACATAAAATACAGTAGCCACATTTTTGTATACTGTTTTCCCATGGAAACTCTTTATATATTTAGTAATGCAAATGACATTTAGAAATAAAATATATATAAAATTGTCAAAATTACAGTTCCATTGATTGCTATTTGTATAAAAATCTAAAAATAATAATTATATTTTCCTTTTTCAATTAATAAAAGAGAGGAAAAAATTTCTCCAAACTCTATATTTATGCCGCAATATTCAACTGTGTCATAGCACTGTACTGTAAGTAGTGTGTTTAAATGCAAAATCTATAGTATAGTTGTAATCTTGAGCTTTTTTATAAATTAATTGTAGGTACATTTTGCTACATTCTCAATGTATGAAATTTTCCAATAAGGACACTTCTTTTATAAAACCAAGAAACTGCATTCCCCACTTCTATAGAAAAATAGCAATAATTAATTTATGAATTTGGAGAAACTCAACCTCATTTCAATAAAAAAAAAAAAACTCTAAACTTCCAGCAATTTAAATATAGAATCTAGGATTTTTTCTTTTTAAAAATAAATGCAAATTACTTTACAGTACCAGCAGCAACTATAATCCATATATCCACATCTAAACCATTCTTAACGAGATGATTCAATAAAAAATCCAACGTAATACAAATAATCTTTGCTTCAAATAAAGGATTCTTTATTTATTATAAAAATTTAAAATGGGCGAGAAAAAAATAGCAAATAGGCTAAAACTTAAAACATGATTTAGTAGATTACTTCTTCTCATCTTTGGTATGCTTGTAGGTAATAATTAAAAATTACTTTGGAATTACTCTTCAACACGTGTTGCACAGCATTTTGTTTCATTAACATATATCGGTATGCAAATAATGCATAATGAGATAACATTGTATGCTTATTATATATAATTTAAATGCACTCTATAGTGACCAGATGTTTTGACTCAAGTATTCTCTTGTTAAATCTTTCCAATAATCCTTTGCAACACTTTATCATAACGGTGTTTATGACTAAACAACACTCATGGTAATTAAAGTTTTGTAGATCTAAGTTTCAGATGTCTCTCTTCTGATATCGTTAAGGGCTTGCAAGACCATCTGCTGCAGATTGGGAGGCAATGTGTCGTCACCATCAACTTCTGCAATTTTCGGCGCTGAAATATAAACAAAATTTAGAATAAAAGTCAATATTAAACTATATTATGTAAATTTCTGCTCACAATCAGATATATAAAATATCTTAAGGAAAAATAAAATACCTTCTGTGCACCTCTCATGGAACAAAACATAGTCTCCATATTTAATTTATAAAAAAGCGCCTCTCCTTTTAATAGTTTATTTTTTGCATTAATTCAAATTATTTAAATCATTAATTATTATAAATCAAATAACTCTTCATTAAATAAAGAAATAAACATTTTGTATATATTTCCAAAAAATAATTAAAATACCTTCACTAGTTTCACTGACGTCACTTGTGGAACTATCAGGAACAGTGTCATTTTTCTCTTCAGCTTGGGCCAAAATCTGGTCGACCTCTTTGTCAATGTCCACAACTGAATACCCGTTGAGCAGAACCTTGGACGGATAGGCATCATCACCAAACGCCTCAAGTCGGCGCTCTAGTTCGGCTATCCGCTTACCCAATATTCTGCAAAGTAATTAGTTCAAGTTAAATCAGAATAATTTAATTCACACCTGTTAGTTTTCTTCTGGTGAGCTAACGCTACATTCTTGTCATTTAAGGCCTCGAGCAAAGCTAGGTACAAACTATGAAGATCAGACTGCGCTGCTGGGGTTCGGGGAAGATCACCGTTTTGGAGAAAGAGTTGCTCGACTTGTTTCTGGGAAACAACCAGGCCTCCATTTCCACTGCTCCCTAATTTTATGGCCCCCTTATTTCTCGACTTCTCAATAACACTCTGTAAATTAAAAATTAAATGTGATTTAATGCAAATTTAAAAAAAAAAATATCAGCAAATACCTTATATTTATTTAAATTGTGTTCAGCCATTTGTTTCTCTTGCTCCATTTGCTGCAGACGATCGTGCAAATATGAATTCTCTGCAACCAGAGCATCGATGTCGATGATGTCCTTGGAGCTGCTGCTCGAGTCTTTTCTCAACAACACTTGTTTTAGTTCAAAGTTCAATCTATGAACCTGAGAAATTTGATGTCATGAGATATTTTCATATAATTTAATAAAACTAAATTTTAAATGTCCCGAATGAATTGAGAAATTACTTTGCTCCGAAGTGTGTCTCGTTGAACAATTAACTCCTCCTTTTCGTCCAACATTGATTGAAGATCTTGTCGTAACTGAACACTCTGCAAATTTCAATATCCGTATAAGAATTTAATGTAATTTAAACTTTTATCAAATTCATACCTTGATATGCAAAGCTTCCAACTGCTGAACCATCTCTTCTTTTTGATGGGCTGGAAAGACGCCACTCTCCGTGTTACTCGCAGGTGAACTTTTCAAGATGCCAATTTGGGTGCGAAGGGCCTTCATGTCTCCGTATGCATCTCTCAATTTTTGCTTTAATTCTTCATTTTCTAATTTTAGACTCTTGTTTTTCTCTTCGTGAGCATCGCCAGTTGGAAGTAAGAGCATTGCCTGGAATTTAGCAGAAGTTAGTGAAAAATGATCTTATTAAATATAGCATATAATCTAGGTTTTAATAAAGAACTAACCACGATGGTTAGATAAAAATGGCCTTTGCGGTTATGTTGGCCTTCATGTAATTTCTTATCCCATAAAGGCTTTGAAATAACTTTTTTAATCATTAATTATTATAAATTTTTATACAAAATAAAAATTCCAAGGAAATTAAATTTTTGTGCCTCAAGCCTCGACTGATTATTATTTTTTTTTTATTGACAAAGTAATTTTTAGAATTATAAATTTAATTATGGTTGGAAATTAAATTTGTTAAGAATTTGATCGTCAAACCTGTCCCAGATGCGAATACGGCTTCTTCTTGAGGGCCGAATACCTCTGCTGGAGCTGCTCGGCCATCAACTTGAACTGGTCCCTTTGCTTTCGGCTGTCGTCCAGTTCCTTGGTCAGAATGAACAGCGCCTCCGTCTTGCTCTGCAGCTTCCTCTTCAGGGCGGTATTCTGCATCAAAAGTGGTCTTTTAGAAAACAGATTTGTGCAAACCAAAGCAAAATTCGTACGTCCGCGACCAAGTTTTCCACGTAGCCCTCCATGGTGGTTCGAGTCTCGCAGGTGAATAAATTACCGAGTTGTTATCGCACGCGAGTCGGGAGTTGCTCGTCGACCTCTCATTTCCTGCGATAAACGCGAGCGCTCGGGGAAAAAGTAAAAAATAAATCCAGCACGCTGCGCTCCATCGCGACGATTGTGGTTCTCGCGACCCCAGTCAGCTGTTGTTATGGTGGCTTTCTCGTCCTACTTGGCAACGCCGCACTGCTGATGCTGGCAACTTGTACGGCGCACGTGCAAAGCGGGTTGCGTCTTGCAGCGTGCAGGGGTCTCTGACGCCCGCGGGAATGGCCGAAATAGGGCAGAACTGAAAGGAAAGGAAAATCGAATAAAATATTTATTTTATTGTAACAAAATTTTTTTATTTTATTTTTCGCTATTATTTGTGTTAATAGCTCATGATTGTGTATATTAAAATCTCATTGAAATAATATTTTTTTGCAAATATTTTTTAATTATTTTGAATAGTTTATTCAAATATAATTACTAAGCAATAATGTTGAATGAACGATTTTAACATTAAAAAATATAATTTATTAAATGATTGGGAAATTTAGAAACACAAACGCTTTGTACTTCAGAACACTGAAAACACCAAATAAAAGGTAGGAATGGTAGGATTAATTTAATTTTTCTTATAAGAAAAAATGTATTCAATAATTATTTCAGTTCTGCATTATTGAAATTATTTTTTATTCTTCGTCAAATTATTGCAAACAATATAATAAAACCTGAATTTATAAAGACTTGTGATTAAATAAGGCGATTTGTAACTCTAACTATAAAAAAGACGACTTAAATTGATTGATAATCCTAATTCCAAATTTAATTAAAAGATTTTCATCTTAATTTTGAAACCAGAAATCCACTTAGATTTTAACAATTTGAAGAATTTAAAGTTTGAATTCTATTTTATTGTCCGTTTATCCTGAACTCATTTTTCTTCACTTTTTTAGGTATATTAGCTTCAAAGAGTTATTATTTACTTTAATTTGAATACTAATTTGTTTCCACTGCCCGATTATAATCCTAGGATATTCCGAATAATACATGTAAACTTAAATTCTCCAGGACTTTGTCAGATAATTTTCACGTTAGTGAAATTTTGTGTTCAATTTTTTTCACTGAATATTAAAACCAAACGAATGTTAATTTTTTCACTTCAGGAGTTTATGCCTTTTCTTAATTATTTTTTCGAGAATAAAAGACCAAGAAAATGTAAAGCCAGGCAGAAAGTGTCTGCAAGAAAAAGTGCCTTGTAATAAGTCAGGACGTGCACGGATTGCACCTTTTAAAGTGGCGGTTGTGTGAATAAGGCACTCTTCTTCTTTCCGACAACAAAAAGCGTTTCTCTGTCGCGCGCTGCACAAACTGCAGAAAGTCTTCCTCCTTCTTTCTTTTAATGAAAGGTCGTGATCGTTCCGGCGATGTGCATAATGAATAATACGTGAATCGATTTTATTTTATATAATTCTCGTGGGAAAATTCCGCTTCCTCCATTCCATTCCTGAGCAGATCGAGTGTTATAATATTCAAACAACGTTTTCTTTGTGTGTAATTATTGTTATATAAATCGCGCGACAGGTTGATGTGTAGTAATTAATAATAACACACTTTCGATTGGGAAAAAAGAAATGTCACGTTCTTCAGTGTATCAACGAGATCTTTGAGAGGCACGAACAAACGAGTCCCCATACATGCACGCCGCGGTTGTAACTTAACAAAGGCGAAAATAAAAGTAAGGCCGCCGCGCGCAAGCTCTCGGTCAACCCGCGGCTGCACTTGCACTTTCAATACTGCAGTGTGCAATACTGCATTAAAACGATCTCGATCTCGTCTGACCACGTGCGGTGAAAATTTCATTATCAGGTTTAACAAGAGAAAAATAATGCGTTCAAGTGGTTCAACACAAGAGACGAATTAAATATTGTATATGAACTGGATTAACGAGATATTGAGTTACATTGAAGAGGTTCACACAAGGTCAAAAATTAGTAATTAATGTCATCAATGATTTAATTAACTAATATATATTTTTATTTTTATTAAAAAAAAAATATGACATTAATGCATTAATTATATTTTAATTTTTTACAGTAGGGAAAAACTAATTTAAATATCATTTTTATTATATTTTGAATAAAATAATATTTTGTAATGAAAAATTTGTACCGTTTTTTCTACATTGTTTTCGGCATGATTTTCGTACTAAATAATATGAAAATGCAAATAATTAGATAATCCTTTTAATTTATAATGCTTTTATAGTGCAAAATAGCTTATATATAAGATTATTGACTTTGATTGTTTGGAGAGAGGATCAGATTGAAATTAAAGCTTGAGTGAAACGTGCTTATCCTTTGTCTTTGGGAGATTGTTCATTGAATAAAAGCAATTTCATCAGCGAGGGTAAAAGCCTGTTTCTTCACTTGCATTAGGACGTTTCCGCAAGTGCCTAAATCTTTTCTCAAATTCTTTTCAATTGTCAACTCTCAGGTTAAGTTTCACTTGCAAGAGGTAGATAAATACAAAGTTAAATCCTCCAAATTTACAATTACCATTTGAAAAAGATGAGATTTCAATTCTGCTTCAAGAATTATGTTGCAGATAATTAATCAATTATGATAATGAAACTATTTTGTATTCTCAAAAGTTTTCTTTAGTTCAGCAGAAAATAATGAAAAATTATTTGTTTTTAATTTTTTTGTTCTAGTTTACAAATATTTTCTCTAAAATGCTTCCTGTTTAACGCATCTCTCATGTAGAGTCGTAAGTCGTAATCTTGTATTTAATAGATTTTCACTTTCAATCGTACATAATAGCGCAGGTCGCTCACAGACGCTCGTGTGCTTCATTCTTCCCATAATTGCAGCAAACTGACCGAGAGGAGGTCAGCTTTTGCCGCCTCACGCAGAGAAATGGACAATTTCTCTCAAACAAACATAGTGACGAATCAAGCATGATTTTGCACTCGTTTGAGCGAAATTAATTAATTAAATTGTCTTGTTAATTTGCTGCGTGTGCGTGCGAAAGTGTGCGCGGACTGTGCCTAACAAAAAAAAGTCGCCGATAATACATAGTGAAAGGGGAAATGCGAGCAGCAGTGCATTTTTCAGAGGTGCTGGGAATAACCGGATGAGAATTAATATTATATTATTTTGTTTTAGACAAAATCAGATCGCGACGCCGGCCCTGCCATAAAACTAGAGAAATCTTTTTTGTCTCACGTTAAATTATGTATGTGCATTTTAACAGCTCCATTAGAAAGACACCTTGCTGTTTTATTTTTTCTTGAAACTTTCCAACTTGTTGTACATACGCACTTTGTTTCTGGTTCGAGTCGTTAAAAGATGCGACGGAAATTTAAGTTATGAATTTTTATAAAGCTCTCTGTTGTTTTGTTTCAAAATGCGGATAAGGCTTTTGTTTACAAAGATGGCTTAATTATGCCTTTAAGGTTTGTGATATAATGAATTGTTCTATTTTAATAAATTTATAATCGTGGATTTCCCACGTTAGATTTCCATCCTTTGCTTATCTAACCATTAACGCCCAAATACAAATCGCAAAATTAAGTCTCAAATAGGCATTTTTAAAAGATTTCCCTCCATAGAAACATAAATATTGTAAAGAAAAGACACATTACTGATGGTAATTTTTTATACTTTTCGTCACTCTTTGTGCTAAACGAAATAATTGTTTTTCTTATTTTTTTATTTAAAAAAAACCACGCATGCGGATGGTACACACAAATATACAATTAATTTTTCTGAATTTTTGGATTGTTTTTACGATTTTAAATGAAAATAAAGTTAAACTCTATACATCTAAAATTTTATTTCAAAATATATTTTATATTATATATAAATTTAAAAATTAATTTCTAGCTAATTAAGAGAGTGAAACTGAGATTCATTCAAAGAAAAAAAAAATAAAAAAGAAAATAATAAGGGATTTTTAAAGAACATCAATTAAATAAATAAAATTAAAATAACCACACATAAAGTATTTTTAATAGAAATAAAGAATTGTTGAATTATTTCTGATTTTTAAATTTGAAACTCGATCATTTCTTCTGCTCGTCCATTCTCTGACATTTTAGAGGAATTTTGTAAACTTGCGGCTAGACATGCGATCGGCTGAGATAATTAGCGCCCGGCCTTTTATTGATGTTATTTGAAAGCCAATCAATCCCCTTAAGTATATTGCTCTGTGAACTGACCTCTGCGGATTGATCGTGTTCACGATTGAATGCATGCGGTTTATTCGCGCATTGCATATATTAGCATTTGCATTTATTGGGTCCTCTCACCGCCGAACGACCTATGCTGGCGACCGACATCCCCTCCTTGACTCGCAGGGTGCCGTGGCTGGAGAGACTAAAACTCTCTCCTTAAAAAGGTGAGGCGTGGAGCGCTGCGTTTCAGTAAAGTGGTGATCGCAGAGCCGGCTCAACCAGAGCTGTTCTCCCTACAATGGTGCTCAAGATTGCTTCACTCGTCCTACTCTGCGGTAAGTCGTCCTTAAAATTTAACTAGAGGCGTTTGACATCGCAATTTTTATTGCCAACCTATAACCGGCTTGGCTAAATACACTAAAAATTAGATCAAATTCTTGCAACTTTCAATAAAATTATAGAGTAAAAGTGAAAATTAAGAGCTTTCAATTATTTCAACGATTGAATTTCGGGCGCTCATCAATGGAGTTACGAGATCATCAGATCATGAAAGTATACGTGGGATGATTAAACTACTTGTTAAGTTTTTCACTACTTTCTTTTTCATAAGCCTCATTTGCTCAATAATTTACAATTAGCGTGGACGGTTAACTTTCGCAGATCAGAATTCCGGTCCTTGTTTTAAACCTTGTTCCGTTCTCCTTATTCTTCAGCTCCATTGCACAAGCTAAATTTTAGGACAAAGTTTAAATAATATGTATATATCTATTAACAGCTACATAAAGTTTCAATTCTGTAAATTATAAAATAAATTTACAATGTTGAAAAAGTATCTTTTAAAATAGTCTACTTTGTAGGCTAAAAATTAGGTTTGAAAAAGTCCCGTGCAGTCTTTTTTTAAGCCAAAGTCTCAGAAATTTTTAAAAAAGTCTCGGTAGATATTTTCTAAAATTCCAAACTCTACAAAATGGGCAATAAAAAAGCTGAACGTAGTAATAAGAAAAAACTAAAAAAAAAGTCTTTTCCCTTTACCTGAATGAACTTTGGGTCGTTTTGTTAAAAAAATCAAAAAGATTTTTCACCAGTATATTTAAAGTTTGAAAGAAATTTTCCTATATAACGGTGAAATATAAAACCCGCAAAAATGTAATTTAGATATAATTTTACTTAAAAGTTTCCTTGTATTTTTCTCCTAATTGGGCGTGATGATCGAAGTAATTAAAAAGCACTTCAGACTTCGCCTTTTGCAATACCATCTTCTCATTGTTGCTTCACATAATTAGTGGGTAAAAATTATTTCTCCGTGTTTCTAATCAGCCACAAATATCAACAGCCGCCGGCGAAACTGCGGTAACTTTTCCAACTGGGTTTGAATTTCAAAAAAATTAGCAATCAAAACAAAGAAAGGATCGATCATCAATATGGGGGTCAAGAATCTGACACTGAAATAGAAAGCGCATGCAAAACCCGGTCGGAAACTAAGACGTCACACACACACACTCACTCAAAAATTGCACAATCGGAATGGAAATAAATTAAATTGACGCACCGGCGTGCACTAGAAAGAACGGGAGCACAGATAAGTAAAGCACTGCAGCTGGGATTGAGTTTCCACGTGTGGAGTCGAGTGACCCATGGTTGCGGGTGTAGTTATATGGGTGGAGTCGCCCGAGAAAAATTAGCCTGGCGCTGCTGCCAGTGAAAGTACATCTTACGTTATATTCTCAGCTTTGCCTATTATCCAACACCACGTTGTGACCGTGCTGATTAATATTGTTCCTGGCCTCACGACTTCCACAAAGCGCTGCCAATTTCGCACAAAAGTATTCAACGAGCTTTCATGTGTTACCTTCGAAGGGAGAGAGGCGGATGCGCAATCAGTTCTCTTTTTTTATTGCAATTTTACGGCACTACGAGTAATTTATGGAAATTTATGACAATTTCACACACAATTTTGGGGTTTTAAAATTTGAATCTCTGTTTTTTAACGACTTCTTTGAAAGTGCAGAAGACTTAATAATAAACCTTGGCGAGGATAATTTTTAATGGGGGTACGAATTGCGAATTTAATTACGGTTTAGAAAGGAAAAGCAAATCTGAATAGGGGATTGAGAAATGCAACTGTGTTGGATGCACTTGTTTGTGGTTTTCATTGTTGTTTTATGTAAGAAAAGGGAGAACAAAACCGTGACTTTTGCAATCACTTCAATCTCCTTTTGGAGTTTAATTTCATTACTATACTTGAAAGGTTTAAGGAAACGGGATAAATGTTCAATGGAATCAAATTTATTTGCTAAAAATTCGAGAAGAAATGTGAAACTATTTTGGTAAAAAATAAATAAAAACGCAAAATAAAAAATTATTCATAAAAATAAACCAAAAGATAGACACACCATTGTTTTGCGACTGAAAAAATTAAACCAGGTTAATATTCTCTTACGAAAGTTCCACTAAAAACTCCTTAGTCCTTATTGCAAGGAAAATTTTATTCAGACACGGCTTCTTTCTTGCTCAACAGGGCGTCTCTACTTGAAAAATTAGGCATACCAATTAATCTCAAGATCAGCTTGGATTAATTCTATGTTTTAATCTGGTTTAATTCCGAGCTATTTTTTTTTATGAAAATTTCAACACAATATCAATTTATTTTCTCCTTTCTGTAGATTAATTAATTTTTATCCACTTGCATTCGAATTCGCTGCTGATCTGCGAATGCTAATTCTCTAAAAATAAATTGCCCTGCTTTTTAAGTACCGCGTCAATTAATTTTGCAACATTTTTGGCACGAGCCCCAGTTGCATGGCTAACAAGCCGGTCTTGTCAGGTCTCCTTTTGGCAGACGCGGAAATTCAGGACACCTTTTAATGAGGGACAGGTCTTTCCGGTCTACGTGGCTGCTTCTCTTGTCGGTTCAATAATCTCTCTGCATAAAATTTATTAAACTGCGTTTTGAGCAAATCTTGAGCCGCATCTAACGCCGCGACTAATAAACTAGTGTGACCACATGTCTAGCAGTCTTTCAGAGAAAGTGAATCCTTCCGTCGCCTCCGCCGAGAGATTTATAATTTGATGAATATCCCCTCAGATTCTGCCTCATCCGCACCGAAATCAGAGTCAAGGCGATCGACCGACCGGCCGGCCGGTCGATGAAGCAGTGAGAGTAACACAGTGAAAGTGCTTTGGAGGAAAGTGCAGTTTATCTGTACCAGAGCCTAAGGCGCTTTCGCAGCCGATTTACCAGCATCTATAATTATTATCATTATATAATGGCGGCGCCTAGTGAGCTAACAAGTGATGCGAGTGGGCATAATTTGAGCAGATGAGACGCCGAATTTCTATTATTTGGCTTTCACCATACCGCACGCTCAAATACAAAAAGCAATTCTTTTACGAACCGTTGTTTTATTGGTTTGATAATGAAATTTTTCGTGACGCCCGGCGGGAGATAAAATATATAATATGCAGGCTGCCAATTATAAAAGTTTTACGCATCTTGGGAGCGCATCAAATGCGCCCAATAAAAAGGAAACTTTGGCTCAGACGCACCCAATTGTGACTGATTACCATGTAATAAGTTTTAATAAGCGCCGAAGCGCGCTTTTTCGCTCCACGCTAAATCCATAACACGTGAAATTCGCTATATGACCGTGAAAGTTGCAAGAAAAACTCAAATTAGCGATATTTTAAAATGAAACGTCAAATTTGAAAAAAACTAAAAAAAATTTTTGTAAAATTAATATTTTTAAATACAAATTAAATAAATTGTAATAATTATGACAAAAATATCTGTCAGTTACACTACATATTGCCGTTTATAATTAGTTTATAATTTATTAAATTTTCTTAATAAGAAAACTTTGTGTTTCTTAGAAATTATTACTGTGAAGCATTTAAAATAACAAATTATAATTTTTAAACCATTTTTTGGCACTTTTTCAATTTACATTAATTTTTTTGTATTAATTTTATTCAATTTTTCAGGTTGCATAGCCGCTGCCAAGGAAGCTGACACTCAGCATAAGAGGCAAACGTACTACCAAGGAACACCACAGGCGAGTCGCTACCTGTCCGGCGATGCCTATCAGCAGCACCAACAACGGTTGAGCGCCTCCCTGACACAGGAGCAGGACGAGGCTGTGCAAGCCCAACTTGAGGCTGAGTTGCGTCGTGATGCCCTCACCAATGCAAAGAGTGCTGCCGAAAGTTTCAAAGAGTCTTACAGACAGAGCCGCGTCCAGCAGCAGCAGCCTCAGTTTTACCAGCAGCAGCAACAAAGGGCGGCCTATGCCCCAACCCCCGCCTCCCCCCAACATGTCCAGCAGCAGCACCCGCTGGTGTACGAGCAGCAGGAACAGCAACCTGCCCAACAGCAAAGGGTAGCCTACGCTCCCACCCCTGCTGCCCCCCAACAGCAGGACTACCAATCCATCAGGGCCCTGTACCAAAATCCTCAGGCCGTCCAAAGAATCCAAGCCCCCACATCGCAGGCCTCCCTTCAGGCCTATCAGGCGCACGCCCAGCTGGCCGAAGAGGCGGCTAAGGCCTTCCAGGAAGCCCTCCAGCAGCAGAGCGGCCGCCAGCAGAAGAGACCGCGAATCCAAAGCCCGCAGTACATTCTGGAGCAGCAACATTCCTTTGTTGTTCCGCAAAGTCCTCCTCAGCAGACCGCAGAACAATACAACTTGGCCGCCGTCCAGCAGGCGTATCAGCAGATCGAGCAGCAGCAGCGCAAGGCCACCGACGAAATTCACGCCCAGGAGGCCAGACCAACTGTCCAGGCCGCCCCTCAGGAGTACACCGAGGAACCCACCTTTGGCTACAACGTTGGTGACGGTCCTGCTGACTACGAACCGGCCCGCCAGAGAGGCCAAACCAAGTACCAGCAGAAGAACCAGCAGGACGCTGTCGAGATCAAGCAGTCTCGCCGGCCTAGCCCTGTCCGGAACCGTCCGGTCGTCAGCCAGACCTATCAGGCCGAAGCTCCCAGAGCTCCTGCTTACCAGACTGAATATGTCCAACCTACCAAAGCTGCCCCGGCACCTGTTCCGGCCTACCAGCCTGTGCAATACGAGGCCCCTAAGACTGAAGAGCAAGTCCCTTATGAAATAGTCCAGAACTTCCAGCCACAAACCACTCAAGAGTCCATCATTCCCACTTACCAGCCTGTCCAGGAAATTCATAGGGCCCCAGTTAGACAGCCTGCCCAAATCCCCACAGCCGTTCCTATTCCTGCCCAGCCAACTTTCCTGCCAACCCCTACTCCTCCTGTCGTCCGAATCGCTCCTCCGGCTAGGGTGGCCCCCACTCGCATTTCCGCCCCCACCCCTGCCCCGATCCAGTCTCAAGCTCCAGCTAGGGCTGCACCTGCAGCTCCTGTCCGAATTCCGGCAGCCCCAGTTCAACTTCAGTCCACGCCTGTTCAAATCCCAGCAACCCCTGTCCAGTACGCCGCTCCCGCCAGAGTTGCTGCCCCCGCCAGAATTGCCGCCCCCTCTCCCTCAGAAGATGTTGACGGAAAGTTGGTCAATCTTGATTTGGACCTTTTGCGCTCATTGTACCAAGCGGCCGAAACTCTGGCCCAGAAGCAGAAGGACGAAGTTGGTCCTATTTCGGAAAACGACCTGATTAAGGCTTTGCTTGAGCAGGGCAAGCGTGAGCAGCAGGTTGCAGAGCAGCTGAAGAAGGCTGCCAAGGCGGAGCCGGAGCAACCCAAAGTGGAGGTGGTGAGAATCCCTAAAGCTCAAGATCAACGGCCAATCACCCAGGAAGAGCTCCAGGCGCTGATCGCTGCCGGCTACGACATCACTCCCCTCGAGGAGGAACCGACTCCTAAGAACGCTGACCCCATCAAACAACAGTACCTGAGACAAGCGGAATTCCTCGAGAGACAAGCTATTTACAGGGTATGAAATAAAAGATAATTAAAATTTTGATCAAATATATCAGTGAAATTAATTTTTTTCTATTTTAGTCTCAAAAACAAAATTCAAGAAGAGCGCGTGACGACAAAGCTGTGCAGGATGAGGTTGCCACTGATTAGAAGTCCAGACAGATCCTAACTAATTTAAGGTTTTATTGTGTTGCATTTGATGAGAAAAAGTGATTTCCTTGTAAATAAAATCAAATTTTATTTTGCCATAGCACATATAATTGATGACACTTTTCATACTTTTAATATTGCTAATATATGTACTGTATATATAAAAAAAAAATGAAAGAAAGAAGTGCAACCATAATAAAATTGTTTTTTCTGAGTTTCTTAAATTCTTGATAGTTGTTGTGAAATGAAAGTGAAAATGAAAATTTATAAAAATAACTAGAGTTTCATTATTTAATAAAAGCCACAAAAAATCTCCATAATTGTCATGGGCCTGGTGGAGGTTAAAAAAAAATAGACACTGTTGCAGCGATCATTATTTCAATTAAATATGCAAAGTTCACCGCTCCCGGTGACCTCTGATGGGCCACCTCCAGTTACAGGGTTGAACAGGAGGACCCTCGGCTCGGCTCGGCGCACCTGTCCTCTGCTAATTGAGTCGCCTCTTTCCTCCATGAAAAAAGCCTTCTCCCCGGCCCCCTTTCTCTATCAAAAATCATTAATATTAAACTTCATGTTTTTATAAAACAAAATGCTTGGCTCAAAAATAAATATTAAATCTCATAAGGTAAATTTTATTTTTTAATTCTGCTGATGCATGACCATTTTTTAATTGTATACAATTATCTATCAGAGATAAGGAAGCCCAATAAACAAATTCACGTTCACACAGTCTACGAGTCTAGTTAAATTTTTGGCGCTTGTTCTACAGGGCACCTTCTCTAAGCTTCAATTCAGTTTGCTTGAAGCTAAGAGCGTCTGCTTTTTCTCTTCAGCTCATTGGCTGCGAGAATTCCACTGTTGAAGTTCAGCAAGTCATTCTGGCGCTGCACTTCCAAGGCTGTCTCCTGAAGTTGGGCAGCAGTCAAGGTAGCCTCCATCTGGACGCTCTGCCGTTGAGTCTCCAGTGCACTTAAACAGCAGCAGACTCTTCCATTGCTGTGATAAGAGCTTTTGCTCTAAGGTGCTTGATGATTTTCTCAATCAAAAGACCCTTTTCTGAAATTGATAAATTTCCGTAATAAATTTAAAATTATAAATTTAGAATTACCTTCATCATGGTCAAAATCAATGCCCAAGGAAGTCGCAAACACAAATGCAAATGTTGGTGGGACTACAGAGCGGATTGAGTGGATTCCCTCCGTCAGGGGCTGATGATAAGGGCTTTTTGTGAAGTCTATTATCATGCTGAGGCGCTGAGAGCAATCGTCCAAGCTCAGAATAATATAATCATCGCAATTTCTGACCACAGCATTAATTGCAGGCTTGAGAACGCCATTCACGTCTAAAAACATGACAAAAAATAATTATTAATTACCAATTTAAGTTACTTTACAAATTTTTTGAAAATAATTAGAAATATACAATTAATGTTATTAAAATGAAAACATATTGTACGGAAAAAATTTACTGTCTTTGAAGTTGACGGATATGGCCTTCAGAGCAGTAATTAACGTGGCCCAATTTGGATGCATCTTCAGCCAAATTTCACAAAAATCCTTTTTGATGAAAGCGTCGAGGAGGTTGTCGTCCAATTTGTCAAACAGTTTCAAATAAGACCTAATTGTATGAACGATCATAAAATTTATAGTTCCAGTTTGTTAAAAAGAAATTTTAAATATCTCTTTAATTACTAAAATGGCATTTAAGTATAAAAATAATGCTTAAAATGTTTTATAATTAGAGTGCGTTTTTAAAATCGAATTTCCTCATTTTTACTCACTTTGTCTCGTTCCATTCCATCACATCTGGCTTTGTGCTGGAGTTAACCGCGAGGGAAGATCTGATCGAGTGTGGCGTAAGTTCGGTTGATGCAAATTTCTCCAAGAGCGTGTCCAATATGTCTTGAACCTTTTTTGCTTCCTGGGCTGCTTCAGCTACTCTTTGAGACGCTTTCCTGTAACTTTTTTACATCAGAAATGCTGATGGAAGACATTTTAACGGATTTTCTCGATATACTTTTGTAAGATGAACGTTGCCGAATTTCAAATAATATGCAACAATTGAAACACAACAAACAAGAGGACTGGTGATAGAAAATAAAATATAAAAAAATGCATGCTATAGTTTAAATGTGCCGATTGTTGTCCGCTCTAGAAAAAAGGCGCCCTTCGGAGAAACTACTGCTAAAAATATTGCCTCATCAATTAATTATGTTCAAAATTTTACGGTTTGCATAGAAAAGTTATGGCGAGCAGAAAAAAAGGTTTGCTTGACCTTTTTGACCCACTGACACTGCTCCATGTAAAGGAGTACTTTTGACCCCTCCAGATTACAACAATGAAACATTTTGAACAAATTAAAGTATTTAAATTTTCAGAACCATCCTTTAATCCTAAATGTGTACCTAATAAGGGCGAGAATGGCCCTTTCTAGAATTTATAATTTTTACTGCATATTTAGTGCAGTTTAATTTTGAGTTCAATGTTAAATTATTTTAGCCATTCTTTAGCAGTTAACACATTACGCCCTGCGCCTCCACAAATGTTGATAAATGTCTAACTTTTGCCCTATATTTTTAACTATTTCTCTCATGTAATAATAAAAAAGCCACTAAATGCAGTCAAATAATACTGAATTGATTCAATTTCTTATAATCGTATACAAAAGGAGTCTTCTGGAATCCACAAAGAATTGCGCGACTATTTTCTCATATTTTTTTAAATTTCCAATTTATATTTTTCTGCCATTTTGCCGTAATAATTGTTATTAATTTTAATTGTTTATCTGCTAATTGACCTTAAACAACACAATAATTCTCATTCCTCTGCTATTTTATCAATGGAAATAGCCTGCCACATTATTTTGTAAACGACCGATTGAAAAACAAAAATATTTACCTGGAAAATTCAAATTATCTGCAATAAAATATTACATTTTTTGGATTTATTCAATTTATTTGTTACTAGGACAAAACATTGGCAATGTAAATATTATTTCCACATGATCAATTATCAATTGAATTTTATATAAAATTTGTTTGAATCCGTAAACATTACATTTTACAATTCACGTTTCACTCAGCTGGAGACTGAAACGCCTGGATGAAGAAATATATGCAATACGCTATGCACTTATGTAGGTCCGGTTGCCTACGTGTTGATTTTAAAACGCACTCTTATTCTGTATGCCAGAATTAAGCGGCTTATTGTCAGGTAAGCAAAGCATATATTCAAAAAGCTTTGCCAATTCATTTGAAAGTCTCGAGCATTTCATTCCACTCCCAAACATTCTTTTCAATAAAGTTTCCTTTCTCAACAGAAAAAAATCCCTGTCTTTGATTGGCGGCGCAACGCTTGAAAAAATAAAATAAAAAACATGACCGATCTTAAAATAATTTAAAAGGAAAATTCAGAGTTATTTATTTCTGCTTGTTCGCACAATGCATTTTAACGATATATAATTGTCGGTGACTTTACGACGCTTATTGTGGGAGGAGCCGGAGGGCTTCGACACGAAACTGGACGTGTTTGATCAAGGTCTGTGACTAACAGCGGGAGAGGTGAGAGATCAAATGGAATCGGCAGCCTTGCCAAGGCAGTTTCCCTTTCAGCATCGAATTACTCCCGATAGACGAATCCATTGGACGAAAATTATTATTTAATCCAGCTCCACCCTTTTCAGTATTTTTTCATAACATGCAAACCTTTCCCGACCTCGAATAATTGATTTGTCTTGTCCGCAGCACGCGACCTGTGTAAAATGCAAAATAAAATAAAAAATAAACGAGAAACAATGGATTAGATAATTTTGGCGCAAGGAAAGATTACGTTGCGCTCCAAGTTAAATCAGAGCTAGGCGCCGTCGACTACGCCCTGGCCATTCACCTTGGCATAGAGATTGGCAGGCGAAATAAACATACACTTTTAATAAACCTCTGAACTGCGTTCCAGATCAAATCGTAAATTATTAATAATCTCCACAACGGAGTCGGCGCTAAATTGTTTTTGGACCAATAATTTCGGCATTGGTGCGGCAAATTGGCTTCAAGTGTGTTGTGCGTCATGCTTTTGGAATTGCTGCTGTTAATATACAAGTCCGCCTATAATCACTTTGGCCTAATTAAAAGAATCTCCATCTCGACGAAATTAGCACTTTTTTAAGTGAGAAAGTGAGAGTTAAATGTGAAAATAATTAACTACTCGAAAAAAAATCTGATTTATGTTTTTTCCTAAAAATTTACAAATTAAATTTTTTATGGCTTTAAAATCCAGTCCAATTAAACTACAAAAATAACTTTATTAAAATTTACAAAATTTCATTCTTTCTTGTTTACCAGACAATCAAATATTTATCAAAAGAGAATAATAATTTGAAAATAATATAAAAAAAATGTCAAAAACACGTATCTGTATCAATATTTGAATACTTGGAAATGCTTACAGAGACTTTAAATTACGCTAAAATAAATTTAGCAATCAAAAACGGAAAATCCCTTTTGCATGGTAATTATAAATTCTCTCCAGCATCAATACAGGACATTTGGTATAGATAATGATTTCACCTTTAAGTTAAAAGCTTACAAAATAGTTTTTTTTTCCAGTTCTGCTGCAAAAAATAAGGCGACCTAATCACTTCTCATTTGAGAACAAGAAGAATTATGTGTTTTGTTGCGAGAACAATGAAGCACTAAATTTTACAGGTACGAAGCAGAAAGTTTGTACATTATTTTGAGAAAAACCAGCAATTCCGCATATCTGCAAAACCTCGGGCAATCAAACAACGAACACTCTTTTGCTGAAAAGCTTTTACTTGGTTGCGCCAACTCGGAATCAAAACACGGCATCTTCTCTGGTTTCATAACTGGAGCTATTCTTGACGAGAGCGAGAGATAATTTTTCTCAATCAAGAATGCATTCAGCAATTCGATCCGCAGAAGCTCTATTATTTTGTAGAACTCCCTGACACGTATTCTGCTCTCGCACGCCATATATTATTCAATAGCACAGAGCCCTAGCTTTTTTCCCTCCAGCAGTTGTTGTTTTTATTCGGCTCGTATAACTCGGCTAATCCAGTTCGGAGGATCCAAGGGCGACTCTCTGATTATGTTATCCTTTCGCCGAGCATCGGCAGAGATAATTTATAATTTATTAATAACTAATTTGTAGGAATTAATGACGAGGCGGCGATTATTAAGAGCAGGTAATTTTGTAATTGGAGCAATTCAATCACGATGAAAGGTGGAATTTGTGGCGTTTATTTTACATGACAGACGCGCCGAGCCGTTAGTTAATTGCATGAAGCGTGCAATTAGAATTAATACAGTAAATTTTGTAAATTTAATTTGCATGGAACGATTTGATGAAATTTGAAATTAAAACTTATTTAATTTAATAATTTTAATAATAAAAATTTTTGTTTGATCAACAGATAAAAATTGTGAATTATTTTTAGATTTGGTAATTGAAGTCCGTGGACCTTTTCTAGTTAAACAAGAAAATTCATATCATTTTTATTGATTTTTATCACCTTTGAAATTTAAATTTGGCATTGATTTCAATTTTTCAGTTACTCATTGTCTTTGGCATCATTTGAGTATATTATTTATATAAATAAAAAAGCAATGTTGTAAAAAGCAATAAAAGTTGGCTATTATTGAATAAAATTTTTGGTTAATTCATTTTCATATCTTATTAACTCTTACTTAACTACTGACGCACCCCATAAATCACATCCAATCATTTTCAGTTCAATTTCTCTTTGCAAACAAAGCACTTATTCTCTCGTAACACTAAATGATCGCAGCCTCCAAGTCATACCTGCTTATTTTGATAACCCTGCCGTAATATATGATATTATAATAATAAAACGAAAGTCATATGCATGGAGAGAACAAACACGTCTGAGGTGACTTGCATCAATCAGGTCTCTCTCGTAATTTATTACACAAGCACTCTGCTCTCGTATATGCACATATATAAATATAATATTGAACCTGCTCGTTTCGGAGATGCGAAAGATAAGCGGCAGCTCTCGCACAGCAAAACACAGCTCCAATGTGTGTACGATTGAAAACTCGAAAATATCCGACTCGATTGCGGCTAACCACTGAAACTGCAGCTTTCAACGCGAGCTCCAAGATTCCCAGCAGTTTGGTTTAAAGTGAGATAGGAAATCTCCATTACTTTGTTATGAATCAAAAGCATTTTTTCCCTTCAATAAGGCAGGTCATTTGTTAAGGTAAAAATAATTTTATTGAAAATTATGAGAATTATGTATTTTGAAGGAAAACAAACTGCACTTCAATTATAAATTTCTAAGCAAATGCTCTAATTTTAAATTTAAAATGCCACATCAGTTATAAATTTTTTATCAACATTTTCCTAGCCACGCGGCCTAGATTTTCTTTTGCCAAAAAGCGTTTAGAAAGAGTTTTTTTTTTAAATGAGAACACGCAGCAGGTTTTCTGGCCAAAAAGGCTTTTTGCCCACAACATGTAAAATTATAATCCAAATAACAACGCATTGGGTATTTATTTGAACAACAGTAATTACATCTCTTCAGAGCAGATAATCGATTTTTCGGCGTGTGAAAGTTGCAGAACGGGTTCGCCGCCGTAGGTCGGTTCAGTGTCAAAATGCAAAGAGCTAACCATAGTGGGTGGGTCAGCGCTCTTGTGTAACCGAAATGCTTTATTAATCTGTTGCGCCGGCTGGCCGGAGACTTATTTTTTATATTTCTGTCCGAGTGATGCAATTTATCCGATCAAATGCATGAGTTATCGGATACGTCTTTTATTATTCCATCCCAGGTGCTTTATTGTTGCATCTTGGTGAATAATTTTTGTATGCATGTTGCCGCGAGGCGCTTTTCTATTTTCACAAGTACTTGCGAACAGAGAATGACTGTAATGATCTCATTGGCTCTTTGTTGTTGTGAATTGTTGGGTGCGTCTTT